AGTAGCAAAATTACAGTTATGAAGTAGCAACAAAAATAATTTTATGGTTGGGGGTCACCACAACATGAGGAACTGTTTTAAGGGGCCATGGCATTACGAAGGTTGAGAACCACTTATTCTCAACCACCGATTGACCTAAAATGTGTGCAAAGTAAACATACATAACGTTGGTGGAAGGATTTATATTATGAGATGCTTGAGGAAGACTGGCAGAATTCGAGAATGGAGGCAATCTTACTTGGATAACATGATTCCTCAAAAAAAGGTGATTAAAATGTGAAGAGTTTTAGTAGGCTGTTTACATCAGGATTCTTTAAGAGAAACAGTGAGAACTTCAGGGTTGTTTTCTTTAGGTGATGAGTGTTTCAGAACATGGTTTTCATGTAGTCAAAAACAGGGTAGCATCAGCTCCAAGAAAGGAGCAACCTTCAAGTGATTAAATCCCGTTACCTGAGATATTTATGGAATTGGTTGAGTTAAAATGGCATTTTCTAGGTTATGGTGAAATGTAGGGCAGCTGTGAGCTTTTCAGTGCTTCTGTCCATGCTTTATCTCCACTGCCCTGGTGACCCTCATTACTTTCACTTCTTATACAAGTCTTACAAGTCATATGGTGTTCATCCAGCCAGGCTACACTTCAGGCAAAATAAGAGTGGCACCAAAAAAAGAAATGGGGCTGTTCAACTGGGAGGTAATGCATATGATGGCTGACCTACCAGATTTATGGTAACATACAGTTTAGCAGTTTTCCTTAAATGCTAAACTAACTAGAAGTGCTAAATAAACTAAATGGATCCTTCTGGATGTCAGATTTCAACTGACTGTGTTCCTCATGAAGGACTATGTTAGCTTAGGCTGTCCAGTATCTGGAGAAACACAGTTTCTTCATTCTTGCAGTGAGAATATCTCTGTGCCCCAAGACATTTTAGGGAAAAGAAATTAAGATTTCACACAGCTATGTTTTAGGTGCTTTGCATTGGAAGTACTCGACCGGGGGGAAATCAACTATGGCATTGGACCTTAATGGATGTCATGGGAACAACCTGTGAGTTTAATAGCATCATATTGTGGTCAAGTCTCCAGGGTTTCAGGTAGATTTCAGCACTATTTAGAAAACGGATTGAATTCAATAAAAACCATGGTTCCTTTTACCTTTCGCCTCAGGAGATTGCAATAAGAAATGGAAACCAGCCTAGCTATAGCATTGGAGGTGCCTCTGGAGAAATACGGATAGCACATGCATGAATGAATTCACACTTCTCAACTTACCTTCTCATCTCTTCCCAAAAACCATTCTTGAAGAAAGCACTAAATAAGTTTGGCTATTTTCTTTCTGCCCTTTGAAAAAAATGTGAAAACTGTACAGCTTTCTATAACTATGCAGGTTTATTTTGAATAGAATTGTCATATGTTTTTGTTTTTGCAATGAGAAAAGGAAGTGTGTTCTGTGCAGAAACTTCTGTAGTTAGAGACTTATTCTGCAGAAAATTCACATGTGCTTGAAGAGGTATTTCTTCTGTGCAGAAATGTTCTGTATAGGTCACCCTGCCCCATATGAATTCTGCCCAGAGTAAGTCAGAAATAGAGTATCAGTACTCTTATCAAACTTTCCTGATACTGAAGAAATAGTTAAAAACATTTCGGAATATTTTCTAATATTTTCCATCTTTACTATAGTAAGGTAAACGTAAAAGTTTCCCCTGACATTTAGTCATATCCAACTCTGTGGATTGCTGCTCATCTCCATTTCTAAGCCAAAGAACTGGCGTTGTCCGTATACACTTCCAAGGTCATGTAGACAGTATGCCTGCATGGAGCACCATTACCTTCTTGCAGAAGCAGTACCTATTGATCTACTCATATTTGCATGTTTTCAAACTACTAGGTTGGCAGAAGCTGGGGCTAACCATGGGAGCTCACCCCACTCCCCGGATTTGAACCACCAACCTTTCGATCAGCAAGTTCAGCAGCTCAGTGATTTAAGTTTTATGAAAACGAATGTGGCTCCCAGTGGCACAGTGGGTTAAAGCACTGAGCTGCTGAGCTTGTTGATTGAAAGGTTGCAGGTTCAAATCCGGGGAGTGGTGTGAGCTTCCGCTGTCAGCCCCAGCTTCTGCCAACCTAGCAGTTCGAAAACATGCAAATGTGAGTAGATCAATAGGTACCCTTCGGCAGGAAGGTAACGATGCTCCATGTAGTCATGCCGGCCACATGACCTTGGAGGTGTCTACGGACAACGCTGGCTCTTCGGCTTAGAAATGGAGACGAGCACAACACCCCAGAGTCGAATACAACTGGACTTCATGTCAGGGGAAAACCTTTACCTTTACCTAATGTTTAGTTTATTCTACAGTAGTGAATAATTTGTCAGCCCTCCAATATATTTTGCAAAAGATTCTTAGTAATAGAGAACTGTGCTTTTCCTGGTAACTGCCAAAAGTAGAGACAAAACAGGAGCAGGCCAGTAGCTTGAGTCACTCCTCAAACATGGTGTATGCTTTGAAAACAAGCGCAAGGCTATTTCTGAGCCTTATCCCAGAAGTGGATAATTGTCCTACCCAGGAGGGACCCGGGTCTGGCTGGTGGCATAAGCTGCTTAACTTTAAAGACAGGCAGGAAGCAATGAATCCTTCTTGCGAGAGCCCTGCTCTCACCTGCTCTTGTGAAAAGAACTTGGCTGGGTTGTGCAAAGGATAATGTCGGTCCATGGTAGGAAGACTCAAATCTGGGACCAATCTAATCTTATTCCTTTTAGTGCAGAAGAGGCTAGCCTGCTCGGGTAGTGAAGTGCCTAGCAGAAATATATAACTGGAGAAAGTTACGTGGAGCAGGAAAGGGAAACAAGAGAACAGGGAAGCAAAGCCTGTAAGAGCTGCCTTTTTATGTTCATTATGTAAATTGTGCAGGTACAGCTGTACCAGGAGCTCCAATTTTGTTTGCTTTGCATTGAATGTTTATTGTAGTCCTAAGTTTCAGGGACTCTGCAGATAGGTGGCTTCTTTTGGCTGCAATCATAGGGCAAGCCACCTGTCAATTATAGTTAGGTTCCCTGGTCCCGCCCCCTTTTTGGGTTTTGGAGGGAATAGGAGCCAGTTTTGGGTTCAGTCCACACAGAGAAGCCTTTCATGCAGGACATAATACCAAGAGCTCCTGTAGAAAGCTTCGTCTTCTACGGCTTGGCCGGGGAGATACAGCCCCACAGCTTGGCCGGAAGATATACAGCCTTACAGCTCCTTCACTGAGGGACTTCAGTCAGCCATCACTGAAACCTGAACTCCTTTTTCACTGGAAGTCTACAAAGCTCTGCTTGGTAAGGGTCACTCGCGGAAGGCAGAAGCAGTTGGTACCGGGTGCAGGGGCTCCACGCCAACAGAGACAAAGACAGACTGCCCAGATTAGAAGTTAAGGATTTCCCCATTAGTTACAGTTATGAAGATAGTGCCTGTTCCCTGTGGACAAGATTGAGAGAGAGCCAATAGACTGTTAAGAAAGCTTTAAAGTACCTGTTTGTTTTCATCAATAAAGAACATTGTTGAACCTTTAAGCAATCTAAAGACTCTGTTTTAAGGAAATCCAAGGGCCTTTAATCTGAGGCAGCCCCGGCATCCCGTTGGGCACACTGAATTTATGTCCTGTCTACAGTCTTATGTACAGGCCCAGCGTGCGACAGCACATAAATTGAGAAGTGTAAATTATATTTTTAAAATGTTACGGTGTGTCCCCATGATGAAGGGGCCAATATGTGTAGTTTCACCTACCCATGTACAACAAAATACATCCTTTCTGGGAATTTTCTAGGGCCTCCATGCAATTCTATTGTGTGCTTCTGCCGGAGGTTACTATAGAGTTATCATGGGGGACGAAGAAAATTCCTCGAGAGAATAACTCTTTAGGAATTTTCTGAATCTTCCAGGGAGACTCTATGGTAGAAGTCCTTCATTTCAACAGGATTTGCTGTTGTCCATAGTTTCCTGTTCCAAGTTCAGGAGTGTAACTATAAAGCTAACTAAACTGGGAGGATAGATGCACATTTTGGAAAATTAAGTCTTTGATTAGTACAATCCTAGTTCCTGAAAATAAATGTAAATCTTTTCTCTATGGTGGCCTCCCTATGACCCTCTCTGAGGCTATTTGCTCTCAGGCTTACGTTGCTGTAAATAGCATCTCATTAACACCCTCTCCCCGCTCCCCACCATAAAAAACCATTTTAATCAGGTCAGTGGTGTGGCAGCAAAGGGCTAGCCCCACACGTCACAACTGCACATCTAATCCTGGTCCTCATTAGGTCATCTGTGTAGTTAAAGAAATATTAAATGCAACTGTGTATGGAACATAAACATGCGGCAGAAGAATCACTATTGATCAATCTCCAGCTGGAGAGCCTGGTGG